GAGCGTACAGAGTCAGTCGGGTGGGGGGGGGGGTCGGAGGTGGCCGCCCTGACCTTTACAGTAGTGGCTCTGGAGGGCTGAGGGTTGTCTCTTAGCATCCGGTGTCCCGTCTCGTCCTCCTACGTGGTCACTCTCTTACACTTTACTCCACACACACACACCTAGCATCTTCACTGCTCTTGCCTCCTCTACTCGGGAATTTCTTCTGGCAATTATCTACTTCAGTATATGTGAACCTTAGATAAATGAACGTAAGTGTGAGGCAAGTAAGCTATGAAGGTCACCTCGGGAATCTAATGGTGTTCGCAGTCGTTTAATGGTCCTAGTTTGACTTACTTCGTGTTATGATTTTTGTCTCGTGTGTTCAGTTATGCTTGAATAAAGTAGCGTGGGTGGGTAGGTGGGGAGGGAGTTGTGAGGTAGCGGTGTGTCTGCCACATGTGAGAGAGGAGTGTGTGGTAAGTGAGGTCAGCGGTGACCCATGAGGAAGGTGTGACCGTGCGTGACCTGCCTCAGCTGCTGCTACCTATATACTCCTCCCGCCGCCCTCCCATCCCGTGTTCAATCTGAAGGCGCCCACCAAACCGCTCATTTTGGTCCTAATACACGCCACCGCTAGTAGACACCGCCGTCACTTTTTTTGTGAACGTGATCTTTGGGCGGGGAGTGTTTGGGCATGCCCTTGCCCTGGCCCATGCCTGCACCCTTGTCCACGCCCGTACCCTAGCCTACGCCCTTGTCCACGCCCGTGCCCTAGCCTACGCCCACACCCTAGTCTGTACCCGCACCCTAGCCCATGCCCTAGCCTACGCCCGCACCCTAGCCTACACCCAGCACCCTAGCCCACACCCAGCACCCTAGCCCACACCAACACCTTAGCCCACGCCCAGCACCCTAAACCACGCCCAGCGCTCCTTACGTCCATTACTAGTCAGTACTCGATAATGTCGTATATTGGCCTAAGTGCGTCGTGCCAAGCATCTTGTTATGATCCCGTCACAACACTAGGCAACATAGTGTAAATGTTAGGATGCACCTACAGTGTTTCCAGCAGGTGTGACGAGGATGCTGGTGCCTGGTGTAGATTGATCCTTGGCAGGTGCTTATTATTGAGTCACATCCCTAAGAATCAATGGACCAGGAGCGGTAATAACGGACTAAGTACATTTTACGAATCGTCTAAAGAATCTTCATCCTAACCCTAATCTAACCTCCCCTCCCCTCCCCTCCCCAAATATCGTTAGGGTGGTTGAGCGGGTAACTCTTTAGGTGAAATAAGCCTGGGGTGTAGATTGTTCAGGTGATCTCATTTTACGGGCCATTCTGCGGTAATCTTCTACTTGATTATTACCCATCAGCCAAGGTTAGCCAGAGGGTATTGTTGTCACTCGTGTTGTGTGTGATGACGCGAGTTGAAACTTGCCAGACATCATCATTACCACTCCTGTGTTTCCTCTAGGTCAAGGGTCAGTGGTAAGCCGAAACGTATTAGTGTAACAAGTCTTGCAGATTTAGATGGAAGGATTGCCCGCTTTTAAGTATCATTATTATCTGCCAGGTCAAGATTTTTGAGGGCCACGACGACAGAATTTAAGGTCGTCGTTGATAGACATAGAATTATAGCCAGAGTGTGTTAAGTCTCTCATAATTATGTTGAAAGTTATCAGTGTCAGAATGAAAATCCAATTAAATGTTTTTTTGTTTTTATTTACAAACATGATGTAACCATTGTTGTAATAATTCAGTGGTATTGACAAGTAATCTATATGAGGCAGTAGTGGAATCACGTGAATATTACCCCACACCCCCTCCCCTCGCTGATGAACAAAGACGCTAACCCGACTTGGAGGTGGGTTAGTTTAACGTTAGGGTATTTAATCATCAGGTGAAATAAGTGAGGGGGGGGGACTAATCTTCACGTGATCCCTGTAATGTTTCTATAGTGGACAACAGAACCAAACAAAGCAGCGTTTTTCAGTCTTTTTATGGGTATTTTGCTACGTATAGGCCTACCCGTGTTGTTGATGCCTACCAATTTGTACAGCACACTTTTGTTTTTGCCGTTTTAAGGAACCTCTTCACGTAATCCTGTCAGTTTCATCATCTCACAGACACAAGAGAAGAGGCGTGGGAAAGTAAGGTCGTTCTCGTTGACACTAATCCTTTGAACAAGTAGCGAACATGTACCCAGCAATGCGTTTTAATAAGTAGATATAGACATTGGGGGAAGCTGGGTCGATATGGTCAAAACCTTGGTCGTGTTGCAAGAGAGAGAGACAGAGAGAGAGAGAGAGAGAGAGGCTTTAATCACTACAGGTATATGAGAACTAACCAAAATATAATTCGATTGCAACATTATTAACATGAATCGTGAAGCAACTGCCTTTTATCCGTAGTAAACTTTGATTCACGGTTTAGCGTCGTGGTGTGATTATTAGCGTACTTATCACATTTACAGTAGTCCCGTTCATTGCATACTTGTGTGAGGACAGGTTGTGGTGGGCGGTGTGTCGAGGGGGGGTCGTACAGGTGTCACACGCCTGTCTGTGGTCATATCCCAGGCTCTCCTTGTTATATGGTTGTGTCAATACCTGGCTCCCATCTTCGCATATTGTGTTTACGTACTAAGTGGCACTGTCTTATTCCACACATCTTGTTATAGACCTGTGTGCTAGCCTTAGAAGACTCCCATTATTGCTTTGTGTGTGTGTGTGTGCAGGAGGGAGAGAGGTAGTGTTGTCAACTTGGAGGTATACTGTCAACGGGAAAGGGCACGAGTGTAACCAGTGGAAGTCCATCATCCGGTCGTAACAAAGATCCGTACTTTATACTCACAGTAACTGAAGATAACACACAGGGTTGCCGTCGAGTCTCTGTGTACTTCCGTCACCATGTAGATCGCCGTTTAATTTATGTAGACGTGTGTCATGTTAGGCCAGTCAATACGTCCTTAAATCACCAGGTTTGGGAGGACGATACAGCACACACAGGCATTTCAGACTCCGGGCCCTGTTCTATATCTGCCCCCTCCCCACCGCCCCGCTACCACCCATTAGATTTACCGTAGTGTGTGTGTGTGTGTGTGTGTGTGTGTGTGTGTGTGTGTGTGTGTCGTGAATCTCCCACCATTAGGTTAACTTTCAGACCATTAAGGCGCGAGATATAGTGTAGCGTAGTACATTATGAGAGACGGAGGGTTCACGTGGACGACCGACAAGTCAGTCACTGTATGATGGTAACAAGTCTCTCTCTCTACGGTGTATAATGATAACAGGTCTCATGTAAACAAAGCTGGATATATACTGCATCCGGGCAGCATCCTTTAGGTACCTCTAACTAAGTTCTCCACCTCCTGTACTGCTAAAATCCTCGGACACCTCCTCCCCCTCATTCCTCTCTTTGCTCTCCTTTTCCTCTTGTTCCCGTAGAGTTCGGTAGTTAGTTAGTTAGTTAGGGTAATAAGGACATAACCCCCTTGATATCAGGACAGAATGGGTTATTGAATGTCTTAAGATGAAATTAGATAGCTAGGCCATTCATGGTAAAATTAGGGGGTTAAAACTTATATCACCGAATGATTAACCAACCAAACACTATTTAGGGGAAGTAGGTTAGGTTAGGTTAGGTTAGCGTTGGGGTGAAAGATTCTTAAGGTTTCAGGTTGTAAATTAGGCTGGGTGACACTGAAAGCTCTTTCATTTCTTTTTTTCATCTGGTCAGGCAAATTTATTATTATTATTATTTCTTATTTTAGTGTTTGTGGAGACTTGCCCGAGTGGTTATCTTATTTTTCTCGAGTAATATAAATGGTAATTACATAATGTTAATCAGTGTCAGATTTGACTCACTGTGTGAAGGTGGGTCCCAGAGACCTGACAGCCAGCTTAGGACAGTGGATGTAAATCACTCTACCTTCCTTCACTGTTCTTAAGTGTGTGGGAAGTGAGGTCATGAACACAGTACAGTAGTATTATTTTAACAATATCCTCTTTTCGTTTAGGAGCAAGATTTGTTTTAATATAGGAGTAAGATTTATCTGTTTTAATATTGGTGTAAGGCTTAGCTGTTTTAATATAGGAGTAGGATTTAACTGTTTTAATATAGGAGTAAGAAGTTTTAATATACTGCAGGAGTAAGTTTTATTTGTTTTAATATAAGAGTAAGATTTTTCTCTTTGGATTTAATTAATAATCAGTACTAGAGGTAATTATACTCTTAAGGTTTATGTTAACTTTTCTCGTGTGTTTATTTTATGTTAACTTTTGGTTTATTGTGTTGCAGGTGAGTGTTGACACGAGACAGACGATACATAGTACAGCAACACACGTAAGTAGTGGTCCATTAGCCTGGGAGAAAATGTGGAGATCGCAGTTAAATCTCCAGTCACTCTTTATCTAGTATTAATGAGCTTAAAATCGTGAGGCGACAGCGTGGAGAGCCAAGCTGTGAGGTTGGTGGCCAGGCAGTGTGAGTGTGTATGTGTGTGTGAGAGAATCTCCCTTCTTCCCTCCCTCACTTCCCTTCACGAGAAAGCTTTACTCTTATCATCACCCTTGTATCACACTCTTTTACGCACTTACGCCGAGTAGTAGACGCTAATCAAATCTCCCCTCGTGCTGCTAAATGTCGACACAAAAATTGGGTCTGAATGTCAGGTTTCCCATTTTCGGTGATGGAACCAACCGGCTGTTGCACTTCCCCTCGACCCCGCAGTGGCGGAGGCACGATAACTCCTGCAGGGCTGGATCAACACATCTTGCTCTCCCACCACCTCACTGCTCCTCTCTCCGCCACTGTTGGGTGCAAGTGCAACCGTGGCCATGTGCGTATGCAGCAGTATACGGAATCGGTCAGCAGTAATTGCTGTATTATTGTATAGTAAGCACATGTCTCTGATACAGTGGGCGGGGCCGAGAAAGTGGCGGGCCAATCCGAGGGGTGAGTTGCTTGGTTACCCCGCCCACGGCCGCCACAAGATGAGCTAGGGTTATCTCCTCCGTATGTGAGCATCACTCCAAAGTTGTGGCGGCAGTGAGAGGCCCCACTGTTCTCACGCACCGTGCGGTCCCACCTCCAGGATTTACGACCTTCTTAAATCACCGCCGATGTGTTAATAACCAAATTGCGGCAGTGTACAAACTTACCATCGACCAGGGACTGTGTGCCGAGGTGGATGTGTCATGTGAGCTGTAGTGAGGTTGTGTTGTTGCCGGAGGACCTGTGACGACAACAACAACAATGTTTTGTACTTACCCCTACTACAAGACGCCCCTGGTCTACATGCCGCCACACAAGCCACTCGGGGTAAGGCACTTCAACGCTCCCTCTCTCTCAGTCTCCCACAGTCACTTCAGGATTGCAGCAGTAAGTGGGGTCATTCCAGCGAGGTCCTCCCCATACAAATAAAAATAATTAATGATCTTCAGAATTGAGTGATGGGATAAGGGCTCCCACCTGGAAAAGATGTGCACGCTGCCGTGGTTAATGGAATCCCTTGTAAATGAGAACGGTTAGTGAGGTGGTGGTGGCACGCGAGGGCTGGGAGTACTGTGGTTCCGCTGGTCACCCCTCTTAACGCCCATCCTCACCACCACCCGTCCATGTACCCCTCTGTTATTGTTCATATAGGAACGTCTGTGGTCATGTGAGGAACTAGTGCCTCATACCTTCTCCTTGTTCTGTGTGTGTGTGTGCGCGCTATTTTGTTTCAGTATTTTAGACCAAAGAATTCGTCAAAAACTGATTTTTAAGGGTTAGGTGTCAAGGGAGCGTCAAGATACTGATTTATATGTAGGGTGTGGCGTGGCCAAATGACCTGCGACCCCCACCCCGGGCTCCACCAGACCCTTGGGGATTTAACTTGATCCAACTTCCGGCCGTTTAGGGGTGTAGTGACCACCGGCTGCCACCACCCGCCCGCCCGCCCCTCACTCACACCCTCTTAACTCTTCCACCTGGCTCGCTTACATATAATTTGTGACTGGTTTTACGTTTGTTGTAGAGTCATATTTTGAGGTGATAGTTAAAGTAGTGCGTTGTGGAGCAGTTAGTGTAGTGTATAAGGGGGGGGGGTCGTGTACAGAGTATTTTGGTTTGGTATTCCCAGGATGGTGTCAGCTCCTGACGTCCGCTCCGCCGCTCTATCCTGTCTTCTGTGTCGCCTAAGATTCCTAGTGTGGAGTTATGGGTGTTGATTCTTATACGTTTGTAATTACTGTGTGTAGGGCATACATCACCTCTACCTCACACCAATGTTTGTTCTTATATTTGTATTTAATTTTTTTTTAACAGGACGACAATACTCGCCACAAAAATGCACCATTTATTTAGGGGGGAGAGAGTTGCCACAAGTGTTTTAGGTAATACATCCGGTAGGTAGCTTGAGATTATCACACTCGGCTTCTGATTTATACTTAGAAAATTACCTGTGTATAAAAAAATGTTATATATACATATTTATTTTTAATTGACGTTTACAAGAAGGTTCCAGGATTTGTGGAAATTTTTGTATTTGACTTAATTTTCGAGCAAGTAGATGTTGGTTGTAGATGTTGGTTAGATATTGACTGTGTTGTAGATGTAGTAACCTGGTACCTGACAGTGGTGGTTGGCGAGGTATGCACATCCTTCTGATCACTAGGTTGGTGCTTGTGTGTCGTGCTGGGAAGATCTTAATGTCAGTTCACGTTGTGGCTGGACTAGAGGAGGTGGATTGGTACTCATGTCAACTGTATGTTTGTTAACGTGACTTCCAATGACATAGATGTATACTGTTCTTTATTGATCTTATGTGAAAATTAGATATGGTCTTTGTGCCTAATAGAATAAAACACACACACACACACACACACACACACACACACACACACACACTGTTCTCATTAACTCAAGTGTCTAATTCAGCCTTTTTTATAAAGTGTTGCATCAAGAAACTAATGTACTCGATAAACTGTTATACCCAGTAACATGCTGCCCTCAAACAAACCGCTGCACTCGGTAAACTGCTGTACCCAGAAACCTACTGCAATCTCCCCAATAAGCTGCTGTGCCCTGAAAATTGCTCCATTCAGTCGACTGTTGTACCCAGAAGCAACCCTCGACAGCCTTGAGAGAGAAAAGTGTCACCCGGCGATGATGATCTTATATTTTCGTCCCGGTGCCAAAAAGGCGATATAAAATAAATATATTCACTAATTTACATATCTCTATAATCTGAGGCGGACCTTTAAAGCGAGGGTGATCAGCCTCCAGTTTATATTAAGTGTGTGTGTGTGATTATACTAGACACAGTTTTAACAATAAGAAGGTAAACATCACTAATCTGTGGCAGATAAACCCACGTCAAATATGGCCAGAACATAATTAAGACGCCATAACAGCACGAAGAGAGTTGTACTGACAATGACCTACTTAAAAAAAAAAAAACATCACACAAACGAAAAATTGAAAATGTTAAAATTCAAAGATATTAACACCTACTGCTGTGCCCTCTTTGTTTACAAATCTCTCAATCACTTGCTTGACAATAATTATTTCCAGTTCTGGAATAATCAGAGATACAACTTAAGGCACCCAGAGCTACTAAGACCACCCCCCCCCCATGCGCTCCTCCCAGTCCCAGACCTCCATAAAATATCATGGTGTGAAGGTGTGTAACAATTTACCCCCACCCGTCCAAGCAAAGACTACGTTCCCTTTAAATCATCTCTTAAAAAATATCTATTGTCTAAGTATTTATATTTCTTGTAATACCTACTATATTTACAGTACCTGCTTTTATTGTACCATCAAAACCGTTTTATCGGAAATTATCATGTAAATAGATAAAAAATTACCATTTCAATAAATATATTTGCCAACTAGATATAATCCTGACAGCTCTGTCCTCTTGCTCAACCTTAATACTGTACAACCCATGTTGTACTGCTCCCCCATTATACTACTTATGTTTTTCAATTCCTCTGTAATTTATGTATATACTTATAATAAAAAAAAAATAAATTTTGAAGTGATAATCGTGGTAACATTAAGAGATGTTCTTATATTACCACCTTGCTATTGTACTATACCAGATGATACTAAATGTTACATAATACTTGAGATAAATGTATAGTATATATCCGGTGCCTACAGGAGAGCTCAGGTCCTCAACTGGCTCAGCCATGTTAATATTGATATTATTATCCACTCTGTATCTGTGTTTTTCTGGATAAAAAAACTGTTTCAATTTAATTCAAGGGAGAAATGAACCTGTGTGTCAGATAGAGACCGTGTTACTTAGGGACTGTTCATCTGTAGCCTCACGCCCTGCATGGTCCTGGCGAGGGTGGGGTGGGTGGTGGTGTTCAGGGTTGGTTGGTTAGTACAGTGTTTGTTGTTTATTTTACATCTTCTTGCCATTTTAACTTTATCACCCAAACACATGGATTCGACCGACTGTATAATTATTAATAAGCACTAGACTGCTCATATAGTGTAGGAAAGATGTTGGGCTGAGTAAGCGTCGCCCCCCCCCCCCTCCAAACAATGACTACAGTATACTTGAGTGTTCCTTAGGTCAGTATAGATCACATAAGGAAAAGGTATAAAAGTAATTGTCGAGTGTTTAGATACTTTTAATTTCTTATGCTTCTTATTTTTATGTTAGGGAAAGTCGAGGTTAAGAGATCATACTTAAGTAGTGTGTCGCTGGTGGCTGGTAGGTCAGGTGACTGGGTCTTCACACCTTCATAAACACTGTGTTATTCGGGGGATCGGTGGTAGAAGCTGTACCGTTCTTGCCTCGCAAGCGAGATGTCCCGGGTTCGATTCCCGGGCCGGTGGAAGTTGTTTGGACTTAAACTTCCTTGCCCCCATTAGTCCCTGTTCACCAAGCAGTAAAGTAGGTACCTGGTGTAAGTCGAAAGTTGCGAATTCGTATTCAGGGACAAGTTGTTGGAGCTTCCAATAACTTGAGGACATAAACCACTGACTCTTCAGGCTTCTACGCCCTTGACTCTTCAGGCTTCTACGCCCTTAACTAATGAGACATAAAGGCAAGCATGAACTTAGCATGCTTCCCTGTTGGGCTCTGTAAACGCTTCTGCGCTTCACCTTACACAATGATGTAGGGGAGTGCCCAATAATAATAAAAAAAAAAAACTAAAAAAAAAAAACTTATTCTCCTTTACGTGTGGGCATAATGAAACACGTGGCTGTCTTATATTCAAGGTATGACTATAAGCTTTTGTTTAATGGCGTCGAAATTGCACTGAGACTTTGTTGGTACTTAAGTTGTGTCCTGTAATCCCCATTCATAAGGAGGGGGGAGGGGTAGACAGGGGTCGATTCTTTGCTGAAGAACATAGAAGTTACCTTCGTTTTACTTCACTATGGCAGAAGAAAGTGATAGTTGCCCTGTATTGCCAACACCCTCACAGGACTTCCTCACTGTTTATAGGATCCCTTCTGCAGTATATATTTCTCATTATGATAAAGTTGCCTGTACTGCTAGAAGGTAAATGACGTCTACCTAACAAACACTAACTTGTCTTCCTCATAAGGTTCCGTCATTGTTTTTTGAGTAATGATAAACTGTAATGTAAATGGACTTAGAAAAAAAAAGAATATTATTTGAGTATTTTTTGGAGGTGAAAGACGGGCCGACCTTGTTAATGTATAAGAGGAAGATTAACTAACCTGATGCTAACATGTACTGTATATCACCCAAGAAAAATGGTTCTCCAGTTTGAGTTATTACAAGGTTTCGTCTTGTAGTCTACACCTTCCTCCATACCACACCCCCATTACACCACAGTGCCACACTTTCCTACATAACCCCATCCTCTCACACTACATCCTCCCTCACACCACAGTGCCCACACCTTCCTTTATATCCCTATCCTCTCTCACACCACACCCTCCTCACACCACAGTGCCCACACCTTCCTTTATATCCCTATCCTCTCTCACACCACACCCTCCTCACACCACAGTGCCACACCTTCATTCATACCCCTATCCTCTCTCACACCACACCCTCCTCACACCACAGTGCCACACCTTCCTTCATACTCCAGCCACACCACAGTGCATAATCTTTCCCACAACCCAGCTTCACCACACCACACCTTTTACACAACGTACCTCCACCCACCACCACAACTTTTGGATCTATAATAGGTCGAACGAATTCATCCAGCTGAATTTTGATTTTGGGATAATTTTGTTAGAGCGATGTTCATTGATGATTTGGATAACATGTTGAAGGTATTACACACTAGGTTGTGGCAGATCTCCCGCGTCTGCTGTCTGCCAAATTGCATCTCGCAGTGAATGCTCAGTATTTTCTACCACACGCTTATGATGGAGTCAAGTTGTTTTAA